CTGCTCTGGGGACAAAACAGAAGGAAAGGGGTCAGAGCCGCCGCTCCCGGCGCCGTCCAGCCCTTCCGCACGGAGCCACCGGCACGGCCGGCTACGGAGACCGGAGCAGCAGAGGGATGGGAGCACCCAGGAGCAGCTGGGGACAGGAAAAACCCGTCCCCTGGGATGCTGGGGCACCTAAGCTCCAAAGAGTCATCCCAGGAACCACCAGCTGTGTAGGGACACAAGGGTGATGCTGCCAGCTGTCCCCAGTGCTGCCAAACTTGTCCCCAGGAGACCGAGAGACTTTGAGATGAACCATCCAACTGCTGCAAATCTCCCCAAATCTCCCAAACCCCACAGTGGCTGCTCCCCTCTCCCCCTGCCATGGTTTACGCATGGCTCCGGGCTGCCGTGTGTTGTCACCCTACCTTAAGTTCCCTGGTGGCCACCTTGAAGGCCAGCTCGGTGACGCTGCCCGCGGCCCAGCGCGCAGCGTTGGAGGAATGCAGCTCGTTCCAGATGGTATCGCTGTCCACCTGGAAGCAAGAGGATTAATCGGATGGAGATGGAGACAGGGCGCCGATGGAAACTTCGGCCTGGGGACCCTCTGCCAGCCGCCCTGATCTCCTCTTGGTGCCAGGCACTGTTGTCCTGCACGGCCAGCGTGCCAGGCACCCTGGAGCCAAATTCCCTTGCATGCAACCAGGCAGCAGCCCCTCTGCCAGCTCTAAGTGCTGCTTGGCCAGCCCGAACCCCCAGTCCAGCCGGGAGCTCTCCCTGGGCTCTGCCCGGAGCATCTCACCCTGCACCCAGGGGCTGGAAGGAGCGACGGAGAAAACACTAGTTACCTTCTTTATCTTATTTTATTGTTTAACCAAACATCTTGGTTTGATCAGGATCACGCCAAGGGCCGAGCCAGAGCCGGAAAACTCAAGTCTCTTCTGATCAAGTCCATGTGTGCAAGTGCAAGGCTCCCCTCTGCCCACCCCTCTGCCTTCAGGGCACGGGCGAGAGGAGGGCAGGAAGGGGGAGGAAGAGCAGGAAAAAATGGATGCGAACGGGGCTGAGAAGAGCTGGTGCCCAGCAGCAGGGGCAAGGGGAGGAGAAGAACCAGAAGAGGCAGCAAGAAGGCATGGAGTGAGACCCTTCCTGAAAGAGAGAGAGAGAGATCCACAGAGACAGGGGCAGAGAGAGGAAGAGAGGAGAATGCAATGAATGGAGAGAAACCAGGGCAGCAAGCTGCGAGAGGAGAGGCAACAGGAGCGTCCGGAAAGAAGGGGCAGCCCACGGCACTGCTCCCCTCCCTGCAAGGGGATGGGGATCCCTCTCCGGACGTGGCACCGTGCCAAGAGAACCATCCTGAGGACCAGAGCAAGCTTTGATCAAACAACGTCTTGCACAAGGATGGAGGGCTCCTGCCTGGGGCCACCCGACCTTGGTAGGCTAGTGACAAGGAGGGGACACCTTCCCATATCCCTCCTTGCATGCAGCTGGCATTGCTTGGGCCTCGTGGAACCAGTTATCCCTGAGCTGCAGGGCATTTCCAGACCTCGGAGTTCCCTCAGGCAGAATATCAAGAGCAGATGAGAGCTGAGAGCAGCCCAAGGGCTCGGGAGCTCCCTCTACACCCTGATCCATTCAGAGGTCCTTAGTGTGGGCAGGACAAGGACAAAAAGCTGCCCCGAACTGGCCAGGACAAAGAACTTACCCCAACCCCTCCGCAGGGCAGCATGACAAACATCCGCTG